CCCCCCAACCCAATCAACTCTCAAACAAGCAGATGCAAGCTTCAGTTTAATGGAAACTAAGTTTATTTATAGAAATTGTTTCAGATGCAAGGGTTAAAACAGGCATTTCTAATGTAAAGTATATGGTAAAATTATTTGATCACTTCTTTCAATATTTGTGCTTTGTTGCAATCGCACCCTCTTCCTACTCCCTTTCTCACCCCAAACCTGCTCCACGCACATGCCTTCCCAAATAGTAAGTAGCAATTCCAGTAGTCTCAGTTGCCAGTCATAATCCCTGACATCATTCTTCATTCTTTCTCCATACTCCTCATATATTCCCTAGCACATCTAGTTCACCCCACTTCTGTGTTCTATCTAGAATCCAAGCACCTCTCTCCATGTCCCTGCTACTGTCTTAGAGCAAATTATCATCTCTCCTATGGGATATTACAATAAATACCCTATCCTTATTTCCTCATCAATTTTTTAGAGGCCAAAGTGATAGTGATCATTCAAAACAGAAGTCAGATCATATTATTCCTCTGCTTAAAACCCTCCAATAGCCTAATGCCATCTGATTTCATCTAGTATATTCTCCCTTGGATATGAAGCCTCTTGTTTCTGGACCTTTTCAGGCATACTTCTGCCTCAAGGCCTTTGCATTCGCTGTTTGCTTTGCCTGGAATACCCTTCTTTCCTGATATGCACATGACTCATACTTCTGAAGTATTTGCTCAAATATAGCCACTTAGTGTGGCTTATTTTAAAATGGCAAACTTACTTCTCCCAGGCATTCTCTCTTCTCTGCAATATTTCTCTCCAAAGAATTTGTCACCTGCTGATATACTATTTTTACTTATTCTGTTTAATGTTTTGTCTTATTAAATGTAAACTACCTGAGGATAGTAATTTTTGACTGTTTTGTTTTGTGGGGGTTTTTTAGTGCTGTATTCCCAGCACCTAAAATACTCAAATATTGGATGAATGAATGAACATGCCAAATGGTCAAACATGAAATAGCTTATGAACTGAGAGGCCCTAAGCTCAGAAAAGGAGATTAAACATGAAGAGTGCCTTACAAATGATCATAAATGCACACAGAACCAAGTTGCAGTGAATGATTACATCAACAGCCAGGTGAATTTTCCCACAAGTGAAACTCCTTTTATGGAAACCCTGGCATTTTAATCATGTGAGTTCAGATGGGTCTTTGGCATGTACAAGCAAAGCAAAACTTGGCCCAAGTTTATCCAAAGTGCCTTCACACTTACATAAAGGTTGTAGACATTCATTACATTTAAATATTTACACTGCTTCAAAAAACACACCAGAGAAGAAAAAACATATAGAACTAAAATTGTACAAAGTTCTTCATTAAAATAGCTTAAATAAATTATCTGTCAACACCAGAGTCAGTGACTGGATCTGGACAACAGAGATTAGAGCTTTTTACAAAACTACATGAGAACACTTGAATCAGTCTTCATAGACATTGCCATAATAACCATTTGGTTAAAATCAATATCCCACCTTCCAGATGCAACTCAGTTAAGGCAAGAAAAGTAACTGAGCCCTAGCCAGTTTGGCTCAGTGAAAAGGGCGTTGGCCTGCAGATTGAAGAGTCCCAGGTTAGATTCTGTTCAAGGGCACATGCCTGGATTGTGGGCTCAATCCCCAGTAGGGGCATGGAAGAGGCAGCCAATCAATGAGTCTCTCTCATCATTAATGTTTCTATCTCTGCCTCTCCCTTACTCTCTGAAATCAATAAGAATATTTTTTTTAAAAGTAACTGATGGAAAATTACTATACATAATATAGTTCCAATTCTATTTGCCCTTTTTTGTCTTAGCTGTCTTCTCCTTTCTTTTTTTCACGTGTTTAGGAATTTTGTTCTTTCTTTTCTCTCTCTGGGCTTCCTTGACCATCTTTTTTCTTTCCTGTAAAACAAAAAATACAAAAAAAATCTGTGAAATACAGACAGAAGAAAAAAAAATTTACTTGGATAAGTTCACAGCTGTTTTCCTACGAATCAAATTTCAAATATCACTTACTATTAATGCAATCACGAGGGAAAATGTTATTTAAACAAAAGAAATTTTAATTTTTCCCCTGAAGTTAGCAGTTTTTAAAGCAACAGCAAGCACTTTTTTAAAAGTCAAGGTTTTCTTTTTATAAGTAAATTCCATTCATACTATTCACAATGCTATAATTAGTTATAAAGATATATGTAAAAGGATAAAAAGAAGAGTAACATTAGAAAATAAAAATGAGCCCTAGCTGGTTTGGCTCAGTGAACAGAGCGTTGGCCTGCGGACCAAAGGGACATGGGTTCAATTCTGGTCAAGGGCACATACCCCAGTTGCAGGCTCCTCCCCGGACCAAGCCCTGGTCAGGACACATGCAGAAGGCAACCAATCGTTGTGTTTCTCTCACATCAATATTTCTTTGTCGTTCCCTCTCTTTTCCACTCTCTCTACAAATCAATGGAAAAATATCCTCAGGTGAGGATTAAATAAATAAATAAACAGAATAAAAATAATTATAGTTTGGTGGTGGAATTTGAGATGAAATTGTCTTACAGGTATCCTAATAGAAATTTGAAGACTGCCAAACACAAATATCCATGAGGATGTTATTAAATGTTTGCAACTACTTTTCTTTGCAAGTTTCATATGCTAACAGAAATAAAAGTTAGAAGGAGACAAAATATTTATTTCCAGTACACAAATAAAGAAAAATGTATTAACAGTCATTTGGGTATGTCTCTCAGAAGTCTAAAAATCCATACTTTATAAAGTTTCAGGATTAAGCTAAGAATGAAAAGTAATAGTTACACAGTTGTCATGCATTATTCGACCATGAGTGTCTCTTCTGTCTGTGGCCAGGGTTGGAAGAAATAGCCTTTCCGAGTTTAGAAACTTGTGGCTGTAAATCCCCCCTGAAATGGCTCCTCAATATGTTATCATGAGGCAACTCCAGCATCATTTGTACTTCAAGTTAATGACAATAATGTCTACTCAATGTACTGAATTCAGTGTGTCCTTTCCCTAGACCAGTGGTCGCCAACCAATGGCCCGTGGACTAGTGCTGGTACGTGAGTTCCGAAAGGTTGGCAACCGTTGGTTTAAGGAAACCTTTGGAGCAGCGGTTACCAACCGGTGGCTCGCGGACCAATGCTGGTCCATGAGGTCTGAAAGGTTGGCGACCACTGCCCTAAACAGTGCCCAAGCTCCCAATAGAAGCCCAATCTCTAGATAATGTTACAACCAAAATCAGTTCATGCTTAGGAAAAGCCTGTACTACAAACATCAAAACAACAGAATCAAAGTGAGGGAGGAAGCCTGGAAGTACCATTCCAGTAAGGCTCAAGAACATACCCCCACAAACAAACCAGGGCTTTAACGGATGACCCAGAGAAACAACATAACTGTTTCACTTCAGAAAAGGAGTACTGGGTTATAACTCTGTTAGCGAAGGTTTGTTTACACCAGCATGACCACAAACACATGAGCTATATGTTGCCCTATGATATTATGTCAGTAGGCAACAGGAACTTTCCAGCTCTCTTATAATCTTACTAGAGGCCCAGTGCACGAAATTCATATGGGGGGGGGGGCGAGGTCCCTCAGCCTGGCCTGTACCCTCTCCAATCCAGAACCCCTCGGGGGTTGTCTGGCTGCCTCTTGCAATACGGGACCGCTGGCTCCTAACCACTCGCTTGCTTGATTGCTTGCTTGCTTGCCTGCCTGCCCGCCCCTAACCACCTCTGCGTGCCTGATCACCCCTAACCACCTCTGTCTGCCTCCCTGATTGCCACTAACTGCTCGCCTACTGGCCTAATTGCCCCTAACTGCTCCCCTGCTGGACTGATTGCCCCTAATCACCTCGGCCTTGCCCCGCACTCGGGACC